CAGCAACAATTCCTCGCCCGCCGCCTCTCCCCGCTGCTGCTGCGCCGCCTCGACCCCTCCCCATGCCCATGCCACGCCCCCCGGGGCCTTGCGGAAACCCCCGCCCACCGAAGCGGCCACCACCACCGCGGCGGCGGCGGGTAGCACCAGCTTGGTCGTTGTCTGCCGAGGGCATGGCTCCCTCGCCCTTCTTGATCATCGCTCCATCGCTGAGGCAGCAAGGGAGGACGTAGAGGGGCTCAGTGGAGGGAAAGGCGGCAGGGGGGTATACTCAGGAAAAAACTCATGCCGTAGTCGTCAGACCATTGGCCTCGCATCCCTAACATGCTACCGGGACGGAGCGATCCGCCGGGATTTCGCCGGCTCAGGCTACTGTACCGTAATTGTGCTGGTGATGGCACGCACCAGGGTGCGATCGTTTTTCAAATCATTCCTATCTTGGTTTTTTATCACATCCCGGTGCCATAACACCAATGGGTGCCATGACACCGATACCGGTGCGGAAATGCAATTAAATAATTTCGTTCTAGATTTCCAACGCACCCCCGGTGCGATGACACCGATGGGTGCGATATGGAAGAAATCACAGTGGCCATGATAAGGTGCTGAGTGAACGCACCCCGGTGCGATGACACCGACAGGTGCGATACTAAAGAAACGAACAGGCGGTTCCTGGTACATGTAGCTTGCGTAGGCGGTACCATGCAACCAGCCCGGATTGGTGACCAGTGGTGAGGTCGAATCCGAGTTTGGGGTGGCGTGTGCCAAAGAGAACAGACGCTGTGGTTCCCTGCTGGGGAAGGTATACGGCACGGTATCGTTTTGCTTCCAGCCTCTTTGTTGGTCGCAAGTCCCTCCTTTGTGGGCTGGTGCTTCCCTCTGTCTTTGTCTGCCTCAAGGGGCATGGTACCGGTACAATTGCAGTACCGTTTACGAACTCTTCTTGTTCGGTTGGTTGGAGGTGCGGGATGTATACTACCGCTGTGTGCTTGGTTGAGTGAGTGAGTGCATTCGATGTACGGATTACCGTAGAAAAAATAAATAAATCATTTCTACGTACTGCGCAAACCACGACGGTACGATATACATACACGAAATGGCGCCCCAATTGGTACCTGCCAACCGCGTCACATACCGTTCGACACGTGGCCCGGAGGGTGCCGGTACCTTGCGGAAGCACGCAATTTTTCGTCCTCAGCAGATTTTATATCGTTGATATCGCACCGGGTGCGATAACACCGATACCGGTGCGGAAATACAATCAAATCATGCCGTTCATGATATTTTTGCGCACCCCCGCTGCGATGACACCGATGGATGCGAAATCAACGATGGGTGCCATCACACCCACAATTACGGCACTTTGTGTAAACGGGAGGGGGGGGGGGTGTGTGTTAACTAGTGATTGTGAATGCTAATACGCTCCGCAGGAGGGAAGACCAGACTTAGGGCCACGAACGTTCCTTCGGCCGCGGGAGCAGTTCCGGAAAAGTGCCAAAAGCGAGACTGTCGTCATATGATACACATACACACACACACTTTTCATCCGGAGAATAGCTGAGCCTCCCCCATGCCGCCCCCTCACGGGGTCCCAGTTAATGGCACTTAGAATTGGTCAGCCGGTTAGCGCGGTCCCGATGCCAATCAAACACACACACATACACGCGCGCGCGCGCGCGCGCGCCCTTCAAGCGACAAGCCCGCGCTCATCCCTCCACACCTGAACTGCACCATCAGTCGGCCCCTCGGGAAAAGCCCAACGCTCTCAACGGTAGCACTGTCCAGCTCATCGCCCGCGATGGCGCGGCCCGGGGGGGGGAAGGGGCACCGCAGATGAAGCTCCTTGCCTCGCAGCTTTCCTGGAAGGGAGGAGAGAGAGAGAGAGGGTCCATAGCGGATGGTGGGGGGTGGCGATGGCTGGGTTTCAAACATAGGTGCGGCAACATCATCTGGTGAAATCCGACCGAAATAATTCATGTCTCGTCGTGGTTCAAGAAAAAAAAAAAAACGTCGTCCGTGTGTAGAGCCAGTTTTCAACCCGTGTGTGTGTAAGCGCGCCGAACCCTTGGTTGATCTTTGGATCATCGAGAACCAGGCCGCAGCTCAACATCCGTGTGGCTGTCTTTCGGCTTGTCGGAGGTTGGATCAGTCGATGGAAACAAGGAGAGTTGTGCGTGGTGTGGCGTCCGCTTTTCTTTGCTTTCCCTTATCTTCCCCCACCTACTTCTGTCAGCCAAGCCCTCTGCTCCCTCTCTTGATCCCCCCCCCCCCCCCCC